ACCTGGATCGAAAAAAAAATTGGAAAAAATAAGAGTTTTGCAAAACAAAGCTATTAAAACTTTATATGAATTCCCATTAAGAACATCATCTGACCAACTATATGAGAAGTTTAATCTGATTCATATCAATCGTCAACTAAAACTGCTACAAATTGAATATATACACAATATATTACAAAAACACATCTTAACAAACACTCACTTTACACAAGGAACCCAGATCTATAGCTATGCAACAAGAACTGCTACAAATTACAGAACAGGTAAGAGTAGATCCAGTAAAATATATAATGCTGCTGTATCAGAATACAATAAATTTCCTACATGGATGAAAACGATAAAAAATAAATCATTTAAATTTCATCTAAAATCGAAAAATGAGTAACTCATCTTGGTTACTAGTGCGACTAACAACTGAAAATGCTTCCAAATAAATAGATAAATCAAAATTTGTCCTTGGTCACTTAAACTAAATCTAAATTTTGCAATGGTTAATTTTCTAATCACTCGAATGTTTCTCATTCTTTTCCTTATTATTTGATAACTATTTACACTTTTTATAAAATTTTTCTTTTGGATTTACATGTATCTTTTTACTCGTAGTAATACTTTAAAACATTTTGTAAAATTGTAATTCTTTTTTTTTATTTCTTTTTGCTATTTGTTCTTAATTTTAAATTTAACTAATCTATTATGTAATTTTATACAAAAATAATAGTATGTTATGTAATCAAACATTGTACACTCTATACGAGTAGGCCTTGCTCTTCAGAGAAATATATTAATAAATAAATAAATAAAATGAATTTAAATCGGAATTAAATTTGATATTTTGGTATAAATTGCATAAAAATTACAAAGCATTCAAAAGAAAATGAAAGTATCTAAAAAAAATTAAATTTCTTAGAAATTTTCTTAAATACAATAAATAAATTATCTTACCTGCCTGAAATAATTAAAATTTAACTTAAATAATCCTATGGCATCAATAGAAATTCTCTCATGATGCAATTGTAATAAAAAATTTTGAATCTGCAAAATGTATGAAAATTCATTAATATCAAAATTTGAATGTATAGAAAATGATATCGGAATCACTTTTTGTAGGTGTCTACATTTGGTGCCTATATACATAGGTATAGTAGGTATCCTTAACTACTATTATTAACATACCTGTATAGAAATTTCCATATTATTAAATACGTTTCCGAATTTACCAACAGAATTCAATATGTTTGTTACCTAAAAAAACGAAAAACAAAAATTATTATTTAAATTAAATTAATTTTTATTTAAAATAATTAATTTTTCGTAATTTTATTAAGGCGCTTTAAGAGAACAACACCAATTAGGCGGTATTCATTCATACATCTGCTAGACACTTAAAAATAAAAAATATTATAAACAGTGGTTAGATTTTAGTTGCCAACCAAAGTGACGATCATCTAAATCTGTTCTTTATGATAAAATCATTGGCTCTTTTTGATAAATTTGAAGCTTAAGTGCATAGTTGAAAAAATAATACAAAAATTAGCAAATGAACCAAAGAAAAAGCTATTTAATATTAATAAACTATTAATTTAATATTTTCTTACTATTGACTTCTTTCCAACTCTGCAAAGAAAAATTTTTAAAAAACAATTTAGTAATATACCTGTTCATTGCATTTTCTTCCAGTTAACGTTAAAATAAAAAGTAATATATATGATTCCAAATCTCGAACAAATACTGTTTTTCCAAAAAAAAAAATTAAAAGAAATTTATGAAAATTTTAAAGCAAACAAATATTTCATTTAAAACTTACACCACAAAAATCCATCATAATAATATTTCACCACAGCCCAATAAAGTATTCTTACACCTTCACCATATTCCTGAATAATGTGAGCAGCAAGTGAAAATCTACAACTTTCTAAGAAATATTTCGTAATATTATAACACATATCATAATTTTTTTGTAATTTAATAATTTTTTGGCAAATTTCATATTGTAATTTTTCAATATCACAATTACTATTGGTTTGTACTTTATTTAATTCATCATTAAATTTAATTAAATCATTTTTTAAAATTTCAAGACTTTTTATAATACATTCAATATAAAATATAAATGAAATAATTTGAAATCTTAAAAGTATTTTGATTGGAAATAAAAGATAATATCGATTTCTCCATTGAATATCATCAGGATAAAATATCATTAAAATTATTGGACCAATACATAAAGATAAAAATGATATTAAAATTTTTGTAATAAAAACTTTATCTTTCAATAATAAATGATGGTGAAAACCTTGTTGTACTTTCATTAAATTTTCACATTCTAAATGAGTGGTGATTTTATTTTTAAAATTATGTGATATTTCGTTCCAAAAATTTGTATTAGTATTAAATTTTATAATTGATTCAATTATTGTAATTTGTACTATTAAAAATAATAAAATATGTGTAGCTTTCGAAAATAAATCACCAATACGAAAACCATAACTTAGAACAGTTTGATAATAAACACCACCCATGGTGAATATTGTTAAATTTATTAATGATTTAATAAAATATGAAAATATTGTTAAATATTTTCGAATTTGATTTCTTTTTAACATAATTTTGTTCTGTTTTGCCGTAGCATTTATAATTGTAAATACTAGATTAAAAATAAAATTCTATAAATTTTAAAATAATTTCATAGGTATTTTTTTTATTTTCTTCAATTATATCTGAAACGCATTATTGAAATTAAAAATTATGCATAAACAATTTCCATTCAATTTATATAATTAATTTATTTTATTGTGGAATAGATTAAATTCAATGTTATACATAATTTATTTTATAAATGAAAAATACTTTTAATAATGTTGAATATTTCATTAATTTATAAAATAAAAGTATTTAATATATTTAATACAAAACAAACATATTTTTATTTGCTTCCGCACTATACGATCCTATCTCAACCATTGTCAACAATAAACTAATATGCATACAGTACGATTATTATAGAGTGAGCCTGTCTCTTATTAATTTTTCTCTCTTCTTTTTGTGTGGTGATTACAGTTTAATTAGGCTACACAGTGACAATGAATGTAATAATAACTTTGTACTGGAATAGTAATCTAATGATAATTTTACCACTCGCAAAAATGAAAAGCAATTATTGGAAAATTTTATTATATAGAATGAATAATATTTATACACTTACCGTATGGTGGAAGTAAAAATGGAAATAAATGCACTTGTAATATAATTATTTACAATATTAAGTGTGTTTCCTTCCACTGAAATTATGTACAGTTATATTTTAATATTGAATGCTTGTGGTATTTTACAATATTATGTTTTTTATAATTGATTATAATATTAAATTACTTGATATATTTTTTTACTATTACTCTTTTTACTATTACTCTTTTATGTTGATATGTTGTGAATGCACCATAGTATGAGAAGAATATTTCACCATAGACGGAAGAAATCAACATATTTAGGTATTTGTGCTTTGGTAAACAATACTCGTAATTACGTAATCATAACGTAAAAGATTAAATATCTTAAAAGAAATAATTATGATTTACCATTTTTTCTAAACTGATTTGAAAATTTAGTAAAGTTTTTTAAGGAATATTAAACGAAATAGTGGAATTGTAATTTTAAGGAATATTAAATTTGATGTTCTTCGGGTGTCGGTCGGGGCTGTTAAGATATCGGAGCGGTGGAAGATATTTAACTTGTTCTCTGCAAGTGTCCGTTCTCAACGAGAAGAAGAAGGCACATTATGAATGAGTTTTTGTTTTGAAGAATTGGAGGAGTTTTCAAATGTTCTTCTGAAGACTTGTTGACATTCGTGAGGGAAATGTATTGGTTTTGGTAGTTTTGCTAGTTTTTCAGTGTCCGGCGGATTTTTGTGGAATGAGTGGTTGTCGCGTCAAAAATTAAGACGTAATCCTTTTTTAAGCTAGTACGTGGTATCATGTGGAAAGCCTCGCATTACTTATTTCCTGACTAAGAGTAAATAAAATTTCATTCTCCGATTTTAATTTTAAAAAAAATTAATTTATTTCATTTTGACTATTTAGTGCATGAGATTTTTTGCAGAGAATACTAGAGTGTTAACTCTAAGAGTCATTTGAATTATTACACTTCATTTTGTAAGTTCTGTAAGGAGATAAGAAAGACTCCGATGTTACTCGTATTTTTCGAAAAATGTGAAACCATGATAAACAATAAGAAAGAGTATTTGGATAAGTGTGTCTTCGACGTAGAAGAATTGAAAACAATTGATTGCCGAATATAATAAAATGTTTTTGAATTATAAACCTTGAATAAGCACCTTAGGTATAATCCAAGTATAATTATAATAAACCAAGAGTGTTCAATAGATCCCCTTCTTTGGCCACGATGCATGGTTAGTTGACTTTCAGTTGTTCTCAAAATTGTTCAAAAATTTTTTTAACTTAAGAGTAATTCCCAACAGATCCAAAAGGCAAAAAATTTTATGAGTATGTTTTGGCTGTTTATCTCTTATGTGCATTCATGCATTCAAAAGTATTTTTCAACGTTCTAAACTATTTTTTTTTAATCCAAACTAATAATATTCTGTACTATTACTTTTCATTTGTTCTCTGGCATTTGCTCACCTTGCAATAATGAAAATATTCGTAGGAACATAAAACTCAATAAATTGCATTTAATATTAGATAAATTTATTTATTTTCCAGGTTTATATTGTATAACTTAATTATTTTAAACTTAAGCAACTATAATTTATTCTAAATTTCTTAAACAATAATTAAATAAATTTCTTAAAGCTATAAAATTTTTAATAAATTATCTTAGAAGCAAAATTATTTACCGACAGGTACTAAATTTATAAATACCTAAATTCTATACTAATTAAATAACAAAATATAATTATAGCGGCTAGATTGTCTCTTCCAATAAGTTTTCATTTTCTTAATTCAAAATTGAGATTCCATATAAAATTATTACTCCTTCACAATTTAATGATGTCTTCTTTTTTTATTACCATGTGATTTTTGTATACTTCTGGTCTTTTTATCTTTAGTTTTAGTTTCAGTTCCATGGCTGGCTGATAAGTTATGTTGCATGTTTTCTGATAAATTTTCTGATGGACTATATAATATTTGTGGAACCACTAAAGAATATGTAATAAAATGTGTTGGTGAATGTGTTTTTGGATTATTTGTTGCACCACGTTTATAATTTTTGGATTCCGCAGCAACTAATTGATTTGATTCCTTATCATTTTCCTTCATTATATCGGGTGATAAATATTCAGTTTTACTTGAAAACCATAAAACTGTATCATTATTACTAGTATCGGTAGCTGTGAACTTATGAGGTTGTTGTAATATATTTAAATTTTCTTGATCTTGTGGAATTTCTAAATTTTCTTCATTTATTTTTTCTGAATTGGTTTTAATTATATTAGAATTTTCATTTATCAAAGTTTCGTTTACATTTTCACTATTTTTCGATTCAAAATTAATTTCAAGTGGTGAATTTTGTTCATTAATTGAATCAGTTTCAGTAGATGCAAATTCTTCAAGATTTTCTGATAGTGGTGCAGCTGTTTTTTTAATTATAGCATTAAAACCATCAGTACCATTAGAAATATAAGTGACAGTTCTACGACTTCCATCTGGTTCTACTAAAGAATACTTTAAAAAGAAGAAATACAATAAAAGAAAATTTTATTACTTGTTGTTTGCAAAAATAATACAAAATTCATTTTACCTCTCCTTGAACTAATTCTCCATCACGTTCTTCCTTATGCTCCTTATCGTCACCAGTATCCGGATCAAAAACTTTATAAGAAAATTTATAATGTGGATGTGAACTCAAATCATCAGAAATCTCTTCAGATATTTCTTCAGAATCTTCAGAATCTTTTCTTTTTATATTGACGATATTCTTTTGATCAGCATTTTGTAATGTGGATTGAGAAAATTGATTAGAATCAATATGTTTTGTATCACGTTTTCTATTCAAATTTTCCGTTCTTATTACGAAATTTTCCGTATTCGCAATAAATTGAATTGTAATAATGATGAAAATCTATTGAAATCCAGAAAATTTATTTTAAAATATATTGAAAATTTAGAAAATTTTTATATAAATGATTTGCTTACATGCAATAGATGATTCATTTTTACCCTTTTTTTTATTTATTTTTGGACAATTGAACAACAATTTAATATTCAAATGAGCTTTAGTTCTTAATAAGAAAATTTAATAAGAGTCTTGCTGTTGATAATGTTTTCACTATTGTTACTTTTCTTGTAGTTATTACTACTGTTCAAGTAAACCAAATGATTATAATTTTCCTAATGATCTTCGGTTTTATATACTATTTTTAAATCCATTTAAATTTTTTTCTTTTCTAAATAAATTTTGCAATCATTTATGCATGTACTTAGCTACTTCCCACTCAAATCACTTACTTAGTTGCTTCCCGTTCAAATTATTCAATTCTTAAAAAAGAGTAAAATAATTGCAATTATTTTTATTTTCTCAGAATAAAAGTGGTGCAAAATGGAAATTAAAGGAATTTGGTATTTAATGGTTTTCATTATTTTTCTTTATTTTTGTTTTTGTTGTTTTTCACAACAATATGGTTTACTCCTTTAGGAAGCAATAATTGAAGATAAATAAAAATAATGAATGAATAAAAAGAGAATATTGTTTCGTAATAAGCGGAAGAAATTGGTTGTTTCAATTACTTATTCACTAACTCTTAGCATATATTTAATTTGTGAATAAGATAAATTTGTAATTGAGATAAGTAAATGGAAACAAAATGAAAATGCTAAAATGCTTTTACATATACACTCTGTAATTGTTACCAATGTTTGTATAAAATGTTGTAATAGAGAACAAGAATGTTGACTTAAATACTTTAATTTTACTTGTACAACAACAAATAGCAGATTTTGGAATCTAATTGTCAGTTTTGTTGCTTTTTCAGTTTGAGACTAATTCTGATACTATAGAACTAAGCAGAACATCAGTGTTGATGACTTCCCTTTAAATTTTCCTATTTGTTTTTCAATCATATAGATTTAAAGATTTAAAATTTGAGAAAATCTCCAAAGAATACAAAAAAAAGATCAGAGTTAAAGTGTTCATAGCACTGGGATTTTTATATTAGTTCTTGAATTAGTAGTATTTAAATGCATTACCTCATTCCATTATTCTATTAATTAGAAGTTACTCCTCGGTACTTTACTTCTCTAGAATATAGCCAATACGCTCACCAAACAGGATTTGGCTCGTTAATTTACTCTAATAATTTGGGTTTAATGATTCTATTCTGTAGCACCCAGTCAACCCATCTACTCGTTTTTTCTTCAACCCCACGTTTGTGCAATGACTCGCAGATGACTTAATATGGAGTGTTATCATATGCACCGTCAATGTCAAGGAAGCAACCAAGTGTTGCCCTCGAGCATAGTAAGCTCTCGAGAGCCGCCACTAGGCCCTACAGGGCGAACGTAATTGACTTTCCCTATTGATAAGAATATTCATGCAAGTGATCGGTTCCTAGCGCGTATTCGCGCATGTTTGTATCATCCACGATTTCCGTTGATTTCAATAGAAAGGAAGTAAGGCTAATTGGACGAGAGAAGCTTGAGTGGTTGCTTTGTCGCTTACCTATGTTCGGAATGTACACCACATTGGTCGTCCTCCACATATGTAACTGGCACGAAAAATTTCTACCAACGTCCTAGTGATGTGCTGGAAACCCCTTTGCAAAAACGCAGAATATCCGTCACGACCAGGAGATTTTAAAAGCCTGAAAGAGAAGGCAGTTTTCAGCAGAAGCAGAAACGGCCTGAAAAAGAAAGCACTTTACCAGCAGAAACTCCCTATTGCCATTGTTTCCCATGGTTTCCTATGATTACTATAAAAATTTAATTTAACTAAAGTGTTCACAGAGAAATTATTTGGTATTGCAGATATCGATTAGATGCTAGGCTGTTAGGTTTTCAGACGACGGTTCTGATGACGTTTACGAGTGCGGAATTAGCTGTAGTTACACTCGTGGAGATGAGAATATGACTACATATTTTTGTGGTTTCATCTGTTCAAGTACTTTGCTTTCTTAAGCATAACTGTTACAGGAAATCGAGGGATTTAATGATTCCATTAAGTCATACGCATACAGTAATTTATGTAGTTTAGGAACGCATGACGATAGTGTAATGAACGTATAATGGGAATATTCTTAGTCTATTGGTAAAGTTGTTAAAGAGTCATTGTCCCCTGAGTGAATTTGGAACCACAAATTCCTGTGGAAGCTGTTCAGACAGAGTGGTGGTAGACGTGCAGTATCTTTTCGACGTTTAGCTCTTTCTGTAGTGGAATTTTATTGCTAAGCTTTTTTTGAGTTGCGAGTTTTTCGCAGTCCCTTCTTCCAGCAATTGTGCAGAAAGTCGAATAGACAAAGCGGTCAAACTTAATTTTTTTAGCATTAATTGGGCAACTGCTTTAGAAACTTAACCCTTATGGTTTAATTTACTTTAATTTCCATATTATATTTTGCTAATTTCCAGTATCTTTTATTGGTAGATGATATAATTAATGTATTTTATTTGGTTTTCATATTATTATTCACCATGATAAATAAAAAAACCTTTTTCTCTTCGTAAAATAATTTTCAGTTTAAGAGAATGTATCACTGGAAACTCTTTCCCAGATCATGTCATATATACATCATTGTAGCATTTATCGGTATGGAATCTTAAGAGATAATAAGTTTTTAAAGAATTTGGTTGGAAAATTTACGGGATCGTCAAAACTTGGAAAATTTTAAGAGATCATTGTATTATAGTGGTAAATTTCCAACATTGTAAGCAAATTATTTTCATATATAATTTCCTGTACGAATATAGGAAGCATATTCAATTATTCATGGAAGTATGGAAACGAAAAATGTAACAACATTGCAATATTTTGTTATTTGATGCTACATTTTAAAGTAATATTCATGCATAATGAATAAAACTGTGGAAGAAGTTTTGTAATAGACGGAAGACTTAGTATAATATGTGAAAAAAAAAGTATTTTGTAATTTTTATTCGGATTTCTGTGTATGAAATCGCATTTAAAACCTTTGAGGTGATTTTTTTTTTATTGCACCAAAATTGTAATGGATACTGGTAGTTTATTAAGTTTAAACAAAAAGGAATTAGGTAATAATGTTTTCATTTTTACGATGAATTTAAGTACCAATATGAATTTGATTTTACTCAAATTAAACAACAACCATATAAAATTCACCAAATTTAATCAAATTTGCCGTTGTATACAAATAATGAACAAAACGATTGTTATTTTCCGTATTTCGAACTTTCCTGAACCTCAGTTTTACAGCGGCATTGTCCTTGATTTAAACTTAATTGTCTTTCTTTCTTTGCTGTAAGTGTGAACTTGACTTTTATTAGAAGCGATAAAATTAAATAAAATGCTTATTTGTTGTAGTACAATGGTATTATTCAATTGTTATAAACATTGTTTTCACTTGTGAAGGTTAAGATTTTTTTGCAATTCCAGGTCAAATTCAAACTATCAATTATGCATATGAAGTTCAAGAGGTCAAATTAAAACTATCAAATGATTGATGACATGACTAAGGTTAAAAAATTTTTACCATAATCTTGCCATCGGCCTTTTGTTTTTCATAGTTTAAACAAACTGGAACGGCATTATTCTCAGGTTAGGATGGACGCTTTATTTATTGCTGAGAGTATTTTATATAGCCAAAACAAAATACATTAATTTGAGAAACTTAAACATTGGAAAGAATTAAATCACTTTTTCGGGGGTCTCTAGTTTATTTCTAGTATATTATATTGTGTTTAGTCGTAGTTTAGTTGCCCAAGCTCCATGAATCGCTTCAATGGTGTCAGTTAATGTCAATATAGCAGAACATCAAATCAATTGTGATTTTTGACTATGTGACTAGTTTGAGGTTCAGATTTTCTCTTGTTATAAAAAGTTTTTTTCATGCCGAAGATGAGGTTATGTCGAAATCACCCAGAATTTTATACCCTCTTAAACACCAGAGACAACCTTCCAAAACATAGTACTAGTAATTCGTGGAAAGTCCAGTCGAGAAATTAATATAAATTAATTCACGTGTACCACTGCTTCGATACACGAAGACAATCAGACGCTACTTTTTGCTATTGCTACGTCTCGTTACCTTACTCTTCACAGATTTGTATAAGAGTTCTTGCGTCTGTGTGGGCTGTCCCATGAAATATAGTATTTGTAGATTTTTCTCTACTATATGTATTTTATGAATTCATTTATCTCATCTTATAGCCCAAAATTCGGACACACAGGAGATTTGATGAAATCTTACGAGCTTAGTATTCAAACAGTTTTTATACCAAAAATTGCTGATTCATTGGAGCAGTAATAGAAGATTTATCATTCTAAGCGGAAATGAGGCAGATTACAAGACCCTCCAAAACATTTTTTTGAAAAAATTTATTTAAGCTGAAACTGGGTTGTGTTAGATAGTAGAGCAGCTGTGTACCATTTCAATATGAATGTGATCTTCAATTTCAATTGCTGATTTTTCAGTAATTGTAGTATGAATGGTTCAATTTAGAATACCTTTGCTATTTGTTATTGTGATGGGAATCTAAAAGTGAATCAATGCTTTGTTTGTCTTATATTACGAAAATCTTTTATTTTGGATAAAAACAAGCTAATTTCAGTACTCATATTGTAAGGTTAAGGTGTTTAGAGTCTTCTGCTTCAGGGTTTTTATAAGAACGGAAGAAATCATTTAATTTGTAAATATTAAAAAAATATAAATTAATGTTTATCAACTGAGTTTATTGTAATATTTCTAGTTAATGATTTTAAAAAACTAATTTATTAAAACAATATTCTGACTTAATATTTAAAATAATTATTATGCAAATATCTTAAGTTTATTATCTTAAATTATTATGGCCTTAATATAAAATATTTCTTAATAAATATCTACTTATAAAATAGTTACTATCTTAAATATAAACCTGGTATAATAAAATAAAATTGTTAATGAAACTATTAATAGCAAAATATAAAAAGTTTTCAAAAACCTCATCTTAAATTTAATATAAATTTATGATGTCGAATTAAATAGAGAGTTTTTTTATAGAAAACAAAGAAATTATAAAAAAAAATCCAATTTTTTTACCAATAAGTTTCAAAATGATGACCACCATTTTCTTGTTTGATTTCAGTACCACGTTTTCTAATATCATTTACTTTTCTAGATGGAATTTGTGATTGATTTTCATGTTCATTTAATTTGTATGAAACGCGTAACTTACGTGTTTTACTATTTGGTACATTATGTCTGCGAGTCTTTTTTGATCTTTTACTAATATTTGTAGTCTTATTTTCATTTTCAACTATATTTTCTGATTTATTGTTATTCTTTTCATTATTATTTTGTGTTTCTGGTTTATTTTCAGTGGCTTGAGCTTCAAGTTTTTCATGATGTTCGGTTTCTACTTGATTTTCTAGGTTAGATGTAGCTGGTATCAATTTTAGTAGAAGAGGCATTGGATATACATGAGTATGCATAATTGCCATTGGATATGCAAAATGTTGTTGTGGTTCTTGCACTTCATTATGATAGGCTTGATTTTCATTTGAATTTCTTATTTCAGAACTTTGTACATTATTTGATTCTTCGTTCAATTCATATGCTTTTGGTGATTCTGTAATTTCTTTTATTTCATCTTCATAATTCATAATCATAGTTTGTGATTCAAATTCTATATGATCTTTCTCTATTTCAGATTCCCTTTCTGCTGCTTGTCCAGATAATTTTTTATTATTATTTTCTTTTGTTTTATATCCTGAATGTTGTTCTTGTAATGCTTCAACTTCCATATATGTTTTACTTTCATTTGGAATTTGATTTTCAGATGATTGAGTGATTTCAGGATTTTCTGTTTGAATATTAGAAAATTGTTCAACACAATCTTTATGTTTTGATGGTATTTCATATTCTTGTTGAATATCACTATGTGTACTATCAGAACTTTCTTCCAACGGTAATACTAATTCGGATGCATTAATTTTTAAAACAATAGCATTAAAACCTTCAGTACCATTTGATTGATATGCAACAATACGACGGCTACCATCAGGTTCAATATAAGAGTATTGACCTTGAACAAAATCACCATCACGTTTTTCTTCATGTTGTTTATCATCACCTGTATTCGGATCTCTTACTTCATATGAAAAACTATAATTCGGATATGATGTTGAATCATCTGAAGACTCTTCCATAGAAGCTTCTGAATCTTTCTTTTTCGAAATTGTTTGATGATTTTCAGCTATTGTTTCTACCATTAGTTGATCTTGTTCTTTATTTACTTGTACATTTTTATTTTTATCATTTATAGAACGTTTCGGAAAAGCAATAGCATTTCGAATCATAAGAATGCACACGAAAAGGATTGTAGTTTTCTAGAATTGGAAAAATAAGAGCAAGAAAATTTTAGTGTTATTTATTTAATTTTTTTTTTTTTGAAATTTATACTTTTATTAAAGTCCACATTTTAAAAAGAATTTCTTTTTTTTTGAAAAATTATTTTTAATCTTTAAATAACTAAGTGATTTTCTTTTTAAGGATCTCTCTCTCTCTCTCTCTATAGTTATTTTCTACAGAGTATTCAAAATATGAATGATGACTTTGTGATAAATTTCATTTTATTTTATATTAAAAAATTTTCATATATCACACGTGCTTTGCCTACTTTCAATTCTTATTCATCTCTTAATGATCATACACATAAGTATTCGATGAAATTTGATCTATTGAAAATTTTCAAAAGAAATGAGAAAAAAAATCACAAAAGCAAAAAAGATGGATGGAAATGACAAAGATAATTATGGAAATAAAGCAAGTACCTACGTATATGCAATTTTCCAAATTGTCTATATAGTAGAACAAGTTATTGCTCTTATATTATGCATTTATGGTTGGAATAAAATAAACAAAAAAACAAGAAAAGAAAATTTTTCTTCTTTTAGCTACTGCATACTTTCAGTATCGAATTCAGAAATTAGATGACAAAGAATATTACGCTATACTTACATTCATTGGTAATGTAATTCAGTAAAGCGGATAAGCATTTGGTTATGAGATTGCATTTTACATTGAAGATTTATGGAATGGGAAATATACTCATATTTTCGAAAAATTAAAATATTAACCGCAAACAAATGGGAAATTAAAAAAAAAAAAATAAAATAAAATAAATACCTAAAAATTATTTCATAATAATTACAAAAGGGAAAAATGTCTCATATCATTTTACTGTTACTTTTATTATTATGTGTGCACTTACTCTCATTCTCTAACTCTCTTAATAACTATGTGAGTAGGTAATTAGGTATAAATAGTTTTGTAACTTTTTAGGAATTGAATACGGTAAATTTTATTACGCTTTTTTTTTTTTTGTTTTTTTTTTTCATTTCTTCATTTCTGTTTTGAATATTTAGGTCTGTAGGTTGTTAAAGATAAAGTGTAAAATTTTATATGATTTTCCTTTTAGTGTTGTAACAATATTGTAAATGATTTTCGATTATGAAATTATTTTGTTATATTGCAAGTGTTATTAGCCGGCATAATATTGTGAATGAAGTTAATAATATTGAAAGGTAAATGCCTTATAATACTCACACCATAATATAGATTTGTTTAAAAATAATATAAAACCAAATTTTAAATTATACGAGTATATACTTTTTATAAAATGTATTACACAATGTGGAAATGGTGGAAGTTATTTGCATTCGCTTCAATTAATAAAATGTGTAATTGTATACATGTATAGTGTCTCAGAATACTTTTGATGAGTATAGGAATTATATTTGATTAGAAGACTTGCAATACTAACAGAGAAGTATAGTATTAAATTGCACATCAATTATAAATTAATCGACTTAGCCGGCTGTTGTGGTTTACAGAAATTTTATATGATCTGGTGGAAAAAAAATGTAATCATCATAAAGGAAGTCATTTGATTTTAAATTTCAAAAGGTATGCTTACATATAAGCGGATATAGTTGATATGTTTTAAAAAATATTACAAAATTTGGGTCATCCACCATATTATTTTTTTTTTTTAAATTTATTTCTTATAAACTAAAATATTTTACTCGTATTTAGTATGTATAAAATGTCAAATGACTTCTCTATAATTCGGTATTTCATATACTCTTAAAAAGAACTCTTGTTAATGAATTACGTAGATGATCGCAAATATAAAATTATGTGCATTGTAGATGGCATTAACATTCATTTTTATAATAGAGGCATAATTTTTATATATTTGTGTAATATATAAAAAGTCTTGAATATTATTAAGGTTCAATTATGAATTTTCTATGCAAAAGGCAGCACGTTGACATTCATTGTACATATACGAGTACAATGTAAGCACTACCATTAGATACTACTAAATTATTTGAATGGAATGTAATAAAATTGTTTTTAATAATGTCAATGGTATAGGACAATGTTAGTGTTTTCTTATAACAACATAAGTGACTTCTTAATAATATCAAGGTGGATGTCAGTGACTTTGTTTCTGATATGTTTAAAAAAGAAAATAAAAATTAGAAGAGAAATTTAATATAAAAGTATGTCTTATAAATGGAAAATTTTTTCAATGTTGATACAGAAAAATTATTATTAAATGGAACGTGTTTTGTTTGAAGTGAGTTTTGAACAAATTGAAAGAGTGATGTTGAGTTTAGAATAAGACTTTAGAAACATTAGAAAGTAGGTAACTTTTGAATAAAACCACAAAAAAATTCGACGATATTAAAGAATTTTTTGAATCGTATTTGATATATTGATCATAATTTGTCAAATCCATCGTATGATATAATCATGGAAGAGCAGAACTTTGACACTATAATTAATTGAGTCACATGATGGAAACACGTCCACAAACAATACTTGATACAATTTTATTTGGAAAACTTTAGGGTCAATTTTAATAATCGACCAAACATTTGGAACCGATAGGTCAAAATATCTATGCGCTAGGCGCTGGGGAGTTAGCACAGCTGAGAGGTTTTTCTTGGCCGAGAAATGTCTTGAGGATAGATATACTAAGGAGTAAGGACTATACACACAGTGGAATATTGAGGGAATATGTGATACATGCTAAGGACGTAAGTCTGACCTTTTTGTGCCATATACCGATGCTGTCAACCACCACTGTCCATCATATTGGTCAAAACATCACGGTTGACCCATATAATTTTGAGGTAGTTATGCAGTTCATCTACCTGGTGGAGGTGCGACGTAGAATAACCCTGGCAAATCGCTGCTACTTCGGTTTGCGAAAACAACTGGGTTCAAAACTCCTATCCAGAAACACTAAGCTGCAGCACTACAAGATGCTCGTTCTTCCGGTCTTACTTTATGGCTCGAAAGCTTGGATACTGTCTAGGACAAGTGAGCAATGCCTTGATGTTTTTGAGCGAAAGATTTCTTGTCGCATATTTGGTCCTGTGAATGAGCAGGGGGTCCGGAGGACAAGATATAACGCCGAACTCTACGAGCTGTATCAGGACATTGATGTAGTCAGCAAAATCAAGATAAAGAGGCTACACTGGTTAGGCCACATTGCACGAATGTCCAAAAGCGCCCCAGCAAGGAGAGTGTTCGAATCCAGACCCGAATTCAGAATGAGACGTCGAGGTAGGCTCCATCTTCGTTGGAGAGACGAAACTTCGGCGAATTTGGAGAGACTTCGTGTCTCCAATTGGAGGAGAGCCGCCCAGAACCGCGGCGAATGGAAAAAAATGATAAGTCAGGCTCGGGACCTTCATGGTCTGTAAGGCCTAGTAAGTAAGTAAGTAAATATATATCGACTGGAAAGTTGATTACGGGATTGCGATTCCACAAAGGGTGGAAAAGAGTGCTAAAGACATAAGCTCGAATGCTGGATTGTCAATTTACACGAATGGTTCTAAGACCACGGAAGATACTGGAGCGAGAATATTCCTCTAGGAATTGGGGATGGAGTTGTCGATTAAACGGAATTAGCTGCAACTTTGTGGATAGTAGGGCATCGACCAGAGCTCTAGAGTTTTGCTCAGTTAGGTCGACGTTCGTGAGATGTTCGAGTGCATTGTGCGATATGTGTAGGGTAACCATGTGATGGGATCCCTATCACAGCGAGATAGAGGGAAATGAGATGACAGACTGTTTTACGAGTGCTGGAGCTGGCGGATGGTTCGGTGCGTCTGCCACTGCAGGAATTCATTGGCGTCATAGATAGAGCTTTGATAATATCTTGTGAGCTGGGCTCACACGTGCAGGGTGGCCAGACCTATGAGCCCGTGTAAGAATGAAAAGAAGACGGAATTTGTTTTGGGATATAGTAGGGCTGATTTTAGCATACTGGTGAAGGTGCCGACGAGGTTTTGCCTTTTTGGGAAAATGGGTCAATGTTTGGGAGTCGTTGTGATAAATTTCTGGGGATGTCAGTATATTACGGAAGTGGGAAGGCGCGTCGTTGCGACTCCCTTTTATGATGTCTTGCTTCAGATTTTTTTATAATAGGTTCATATTTATGAATAATAAAGAATTTCAGTTACCACACATGCTATCATTTAAAGGAGCCAGACAAATTTGGCACTTGTGTGATTAAATAATGGCATATTCACCAAAGACTTAATTTATTTTTTCATTTTACATAGATAATTGTACATATTCACATTCGGCCTCAATATTAAATAAATTTTTAACTGGAAGCTAAAAAAACATACAAGTATACACCAGTAAATATAAACAAATGATATTTTCGTTTGCTTTTGAATTACATATATTTATTAATTCCAATTTTGATTATATTAAAATAAGCGATAATTTTATCAATTTAAAAAAAAAAATGCAATGCGTTTTATCATTAATAAAGTATAAAAATTAAAAATAGCTTGACTATTTTGTACCTTAAAATAGTTCGCGTATCGGTATTATACTGGTTACGTTCTTTGTCGGTTTTCATTCGTCTCTAGTTGGGTGTTTATTTTATAAGAAAAAAAAAAAATAAAAATTCTATATATTTTTATGAAATGTTCTAATTCCTGTGTTTCTCTTATTTTTTTCGTTAACAGTGTCTTGTTCATTCAGTTTACTTTTTCCTCGTTAATGTGCGTTTAATTTTTTCAATTTGTCACTTCATCTTGTATTTTAACTAGGTATATATATTATTATATTACAATTTATGTATATGTGTATTAAATTCTGTTTAAAAAAAATTATAAAACATCATTTATATTATTAAATAAAATTTGTTTGTTAGTAATTAAAAGAACATTATTAAAATTATTATAAAAAAGAAAATGTTAGTAAAATGTTATCTGTATGAAATGTTTTCTGTTAAATATTAAACATTGTCCTTAAATTTCCTAAAGAATAATATTTATACTCGTAAACAGTGATTTAGATATATTTGTATGTGTATAATGTAAATGTGATTTATGATGATGGTTAATAATATAATAAATAAATTATTTATTGGATTTTTCATATTGCAACTTTAATTTGATTATTGACTCCTTTAAAACTTTATGGTGTTTGACTCCAATTTACGAATTTATTGTATTAGGCTGCGCATTTTTCGGGTTTCTTTCTTTTTTTTTAATAATTTTCCTTAATCTCCATTTCCATTTCCATTCATCATGCCGTTTCCATTACCATTACCATTCATTCCATTGAAACCATTGCCATTTCCGTTTCCATTACCGTTCCCATTACCGTTTCCATTGCCATTACCATTTCCGTTACCATGTCCGTTACTCTGTCCGTTACCATTTCCGTTTCCGTTACCATTACCGTTTCCATTTCCGTTACCATTTTCACTACCATTTAAAAGACTATCATAAGAATATAAATATGAGGGACTAGATAATAAATGTTGTGTTTCATGTAATAATGTTCCTGGATGTTCAATTATATGATGTTGTGGTAAACTAATAACTCTTTGTGATAATGGCAATTCTAATAATGATGGTGTACCATGATGTATAACCGATGATGTTGAAGATAAACTATGACCAGAAAGTAAAGCTGTTGATGCTTGTGGTAAAACAAGTGTTCTATGCTGTATTGCTGGTATTTCTTCTAAAGTAACTGTTGTAGCTGGTGCTGTATGGATAATTTGTGTTGCTGGTAATGGTGCTGGTGCTGGTTCTTTTGTAACAATAGCATTAAAACCAGTTAAATCAGTTGCTGTATAACCAACTGTTCTACGACTACCATCTGGTTCAACTAATGAATAATGTCCAGTAACAACATCTCCATCACGTGATTCTTCATGACGTTTATCATCACCAGTTTTACTATCTTTTACTTCATATGAAAATTTATATTTTGGATATGCAATTTCTTCTACTTGTTTTGATTCCTCAACAATTTTTGGTGCTTCAACATGTTGTGTTGTTGTTGTCGTTGTTGTTGCTACTGGATGTAATACAGTTGTGGCTAAAATAGGACTACTATGATGTGTAACTAATGTTGTATGTTTTAATTCTGGATGTATTACATAACCACTAATTTGTGATATTATATAGAAAATTATAAAAGTATCCTGTGAAAAAGAAAAATTTAAATTTTTAATTGAATTTGGAAAAAAATATTTCAAAGTATTCAAACCTTTATCATTTTTTGTTTGGCTTCTGTAAATTTGGTTTTTTCGTTTTTAACTCAAAAATTTAAATTTAATGAAATATTTTTAAAAAAAATAATAAATCCGATGTATCTTTATTAAGCTTCAGTACAAAAATGCATAATTCTTCAACTTCTAGCAAATTATTTATACTAAAAAATTTCTATATGACACTAAATTTAACTTCTATCTAGACTAGATATTTTTTATGCCATTCTATTCCATAATATCAAATTTCATATTTAAATTTTTTAAGATATGAAAGACATGAAAATCTTAATAATATCATGATGAAAACTCTTATTTTACAATCTTCTTTTCAATTCTACAAAATCACTTACAACATTTCATATTTGTAAAACATGAAAATTAATAATACCGCGCGCCATAGTTCAAAACTAAAAACGAAAAACAAGAAACTCAATTCGGGTACCACACAATATAATATTTTTTATTCTTCCAAATCTCAGCCCAGCATCTTATATCAAAATCTATATTTCAAAAATGAACTACTTATATCTAATTTCTTGTAAACTACTTTAGAGACAAATACGAAGCGGATGAATTAAACAAAAAAAAAAAAAAACAAAAAAAAGAGTGTTAAAAAACTGAATGTGCCAAAAATTCATAACGTTATATGATATGCAGTTTATGTTGGTTTACAACTAGATCAAAACATACGTACTCGTGTCACATTGAATGTTCTACCATAACTTGAAAACAAAACACTTCTTTTGATTTTTTTCCATTTAAAGTGTGGTGTTATTAATTTTATATTTTTCAAAGAATATTATGAAATTTTGCCATTTTTTTTTTGTTTTACATTTAATGTTATTTGATGTTACGTTTACATTACATAATGTTGAAATTTAATCACAAAAAATCCATAAATTATTTATTAAGTTGAAGGTTAAATTACATGTTAGTAAGGAAATTGAATGGTATCAGCTGATTCGATGTGATAAACACAAAGAAATACTCCAGCATTTGTCAATTCATAGAAATTATTTAAAAAATTCTTATTGATTTATAAACTTTATCGAATATCTACAATACGTTCTTACAATTTTTCAGACATTTTAAAATTAAAATTATTCGCTGAACGTTACTTAGTAGACATCATGTTAATCCAGAAAACAGAAAAGTTATTTCAAATCTTGGGCACTGGAAACACAAAAATTTCAATCTATTTTGATAACTATATTACGTTAAGCACGCTTTCACTTTCGTTTTTAAAGTCGAGGCTCTATTTTTTACAGCAGCAGGAACGTAGCACTGTTCTGGGTACAGTTTCATACAACAGTATTCATTAGTTCAACATTGTATATGCCCTTACAAAAATAGGTGCTAATTTTAATTTTAAATAACATCAGCGGATATGGTCTCAGTAGAACCCGAAATACATTTTAGATGGGTATGATTACATAATTGAAGATTTACTGACTTTAAATTGCTTTGTAGGGGCTTTCGTAACAACAAAAAACCGACGTTTATGTTCGTCATCGTCAACACAATATGTTATATTAGTTGATATAATCCGATCATAATCTAATCGTTATTTGTGAAATCAAACTGTAGATAACAGATAGCGGACGGGTTTCTGCAAAAATAGTTTCTAAACGCAAGCGGATGATATTACTGTTCGGCATTTTGAATATAAAAGAAATTAGTTGTTGAGAATAAATTTTTACGTTTTGCCATGTAATCAAAAAATTTTCAAATTAACAAGACTAATTTGGTCCTGAAATTTTTCAGGACCAAATTAGTCCTGAATTCATTAGCATAATGAATATTTCAATAGTTTAAGTTCAAATTTCTTATTATTAAGACCTAGGCAAAAATAAGGGATTTATGATATTTTTTAAGTAATTACAAATGAAACTTAACGAAAAGAAAAAATTTATTTTAATTAAACTTACTGCCGAAATGTGCAAATAACAAGTGTCACTCCTTATATAAATCTACTGAAAATTTAAATTAATTAAGCTAAAATTATGGGGGCACTTTAGCTGTCAGCAGAGAACACATTTCACATAAAAAAAATGAGTATTTTATTCAACGAAAAGTTAACAGTCGTCCAAATAAAAAAGAGAATAATTTTTTTAACTAAGAGAGATTTTTAAAATTAAATGTCAGGAATAAGAGAGAGAGAATCAATTGAATAAATAGAATATTTAATAAATAATTTTATTCTTCAATAAATATTTCAATAAAATTAAATAAAAAATTAAAATAATTTTGAATTCTTTTATTCATTTTCTTCTTCAATTTGTGACAATATAAAATTCATTTCATATTTTTTTTAAATAAATAAATTGTACATGCAAATATTGGTAAAAAAAAATAAATTAAATACTTTTTGTTTGGGTTAGTATGAACTAATTTTTTTTTTTTTGGTATTTTGGCCATTAGGCACTAAAATGTTAGTATATGCTGAATTAGTAAATATATAAAAAAAATATACAAAAAAATTATAATACAAAGTACAAATATTCACAATAATTGTTATACATAAAATAATTTTGCAAAATATAAGTAAATTGAATAATTTAAATTTATAAAATTTATAAGGAACACATATTTGGGATGTATCTTAGGTACAAATATAAATTATATTGAATAAAATTATAACATAAATATTACAAATATAAAATGTATTCCATCTGTAAATAATATAATAATTGTGCTCTGTAATAATTTATTATCATACGAGTAATAAAAAATCGGGTCAGTCATGTCCTTTTTAAAATTTTTTTCATTTCACGCTAAAATCTAAAGTAAATTAATAATTTTTGTTTTCCCGCTAAATTTAAAAAACTCTTTTGTTTTTTTTAATAACTGTTTTTTTAATAACGACGATAGTAGAAACGCTGTTCGCTTTTACCGTTATATCTATTTTCATTTAAACGATCATCGATTTCATTTCCATTCGTACCAATTTCATGTTCTGTACCATTATCATTTCCATTCAATCCATTTCTTCGTTTACCGTTAGATTCATGAATATTTCGATGATTACCATTACCATTTCTATATTCTTTTCTATCATTATTACTATGTATTCCATTGCCATTATTTAATCTATGACCATTACCATTATCATTTTGTTCATTTTCATTTAAAATACGTTGTTCATCACTAAGATCACGGTGTCTTTCTCTTAATTCACTTAAATCGATTTCACTATCACTATCATCGATTCGATGTTGTTGTAATTGTTGTTGGTGTTGTTGTTGATCCTGTTGTTCTTGTTGATTTAAATTTCTATTTGTTAAATCACTACTACTTGAATCAATACGGGATGTAAATACAACCGAAGGTGATGAAAGAAATTGTGTTTGTAATAATGTTGTTGGATGTTGTGATAAAATATGTGTTCTTGGTAAACCAATACTTTTAACAATTGTTGGATGAGTTTCTAATGTTGAAATATGTTGATTTGTTGTTAATACAGGTACATTATGTAATCTTAATGTTGGTGTATGATGGTGAACAATTGTTGAATGAACTGTATGACCTAAAACTGAACTGGGTATTGATTGTGCTAAAACAATTGCTTGTGCTCTAGCTATTTGTTCCTGTTGTTGTTGTTGTTGCTGTTGTTTAAGTGCCGTCTGTCTTAATTGTTCTCTTGTCAATTCTTCTTGTTGTTGTATTACAGATTGTCTTAATTGTTCTCGTTGACGACGTTGTTCTTCTTCAATTTCAGCTTGATGCTGTGCTAACTGTTGTCTAAATTCTTCAAGATTTTCATCATCTTCAGTTGATGATGTTATCTCTGTTGTTTGTTGTTCATTAATTTGTTGTTGCTGTTGTTGACGTTGTTGTTGGTTCTGTTGACCATGTAAAGGCTCTTTTGATACAATTGCATTAAAACCACTCAAATTATCAGCTGTATATGCAACAATTCTTCTTGTACCATCTGGTTCAACTAATGAATACTGAAAATTTTAATTTATTTTAGTATTAGTTTCTTCTAAGAATTTATTCCGGGAATATATTAAGAAGTATACTATACCTTTCCTTGTACATGATCTCCATCACGTTTTTCTTCTTGTTGTTTTTCATCACCAGTTTTTAAATCTTTGATATCATATGAGAAACTGTAACGTGGATGTGGATTAAAATCACTATCATCACTAGACGATGATGTTTTCAATATATGAGATCTAATTGGTTGAACTGATATAATTTCGGATGGATGATGCAATATTGTTTTTGATGGTTGTGGTATCCGAATTATTGGTGGATTACTAGGATGATGTGTTAAACTTGCATGATTTAAACCTAAATGTTGTATAACATATGCATTCGTATATATTGTAAAACATATGATCACAAAAGGAAAACTCTGCAATAAATTTTATAATTTATGAATAATAAATTTTAGAAAACAAAATTTATTTTAAGATTTTCAACAAAAATATTTTATATTTTCACAGAATAATGCGCAAATAATATTTTCTTTTACCCTTAACATTTTCTAATTGAAATTTGTTTAATCCTTTTTTCTTTTTGATTAAATTTAAATTATTTTAAAGTCTTCTAAATTAATTCTTACTGGTAAGAACTTTGTGAAGAGATTAACAATGCTAGAAATTTTCTTGTTCAATTTATATAAATGGCAGTTTATGAAAAACATATTTAAATTCAATGTAATAATTACTTAAACTATTCTTTACATCGAGAATACAATATGACGGCTTATATTATATTATAGCTATAACATTACTTGTACCACTCACTAGCACAAAAATTCAATGAAAATTTAGTAAACCATAACAACCCTACCTAAATTCTTTATGTTTAACTATATTGCCTTGTATTTTAATCAATCTTAAGGTGATTTACTTCAAGTATTTAGTGCACTATAGTACATAGTACAAGCACTATATACACTAGAATGTTTTCTTTGTTCATAGGGTATCAAGATGGAATTAAGTGTTAAAGTAAATGTAATTCTTGGTATTATTTTATATAATTATTGCAGTGCCGCAATATTGTCATTAACTGGAAATATCACGTTGTGACGACGTTATAGCTGAAATAAATTATATTTTCATAAGTCACGTTAGGTCGTGTCACGTGAGTTCAACTTAACTGACCTTGCTTAACCTTACTCCACTTCACTTCACGCCTTACAATTTCATCTCTTCTCACCTACTTCAATTCACCTGACCTCATCTGAATTCACCGTACCTCACCTTACCGCAATTCACCACATTTCTTCTCGTTCTCCTTTACTCAAACTCACCTCACGACACATCGTGCCCCGTAATAACGTTACAGCTATTCGAAAACTGTAACCCATAGACGAACACATAACATATGTAAGACTTCAGACCCATTCAATCAATCAATTCCTAAAAAAAAATTCAATCTACCCTTTGGAGGCGCAAACGACTCCATGGGAACTGTGTGGTTTTCATTCTTGCGATGATTTTACTAACCAAACATTTACAATTTCTTGTTCAACTTGTCGTTCTTTTCTATCTCTTTTAATATTTTTAGCAAACGACTAACATGTACCTAAATATAGGTATAACTCGTACGGTATGAAAACATAATCATAAAAAAGTCATCTGTGTTATATTCACACACTTTTATGAAATAATTTTAAATGAAGAACAAGGTTGGAGCGAAAAGTTATTTATTGCATTTTCAAGTTAAGCAATGATACTCTACATCGAGATCAAAACGTGCTGACAGTCAAAGATGAAATAAAGAAGTATGCAATCAATCATCAATCAAGATTACTCCAGCATGACAACCCCGAGATGCTGCAACTTTTGGAACAGCTGGAGTAACATCACCACACCATACGGTTCACAAAATATTCGCTCTAATCGCACAGAAAAGAATTAAGAACGATGTAGATTCAGAGAAATGTAGAAGTTGCACGGAGCACTCACATACCATCAGAGTCCTAAGAGAGAAGTCAAATGAATTCAAATCACCCCTATACATTGCGTTCATAGATTTCAAGTAAGCATTTGATTCAATTGAATCAAATTTGGAGGATTTGAAATGCAATTTGAAGGGCACTAGAAATTAAAGTAATCCCGCTGAAAATAATAAAAATAATTAGAGCCATGTACGCAGATGCAGAAACTCAAGTGCTACATAAACGAGTCTTAAGCAGACCCATGAACATAATCAGAGCTATAAGACAATCATGCCTACTATCGCAAATACTTTTCAACATAGTAATAGATGAAGTTATGTGAAAAACCAACAGTGCAGGTAGAAATGATATTGGCTGGGGCCTTTCCAACAAAGTAGACGGTTTGGACTATACTGATGACCTCACGAAACACACATATGAAAATATGAAAAAAAAACTAAACAGGCTTTCGAAAAATGCAGAAGAAGTCGACCTATATATCAACACAAATAAAATAAAAATAATAAGAATCAACTCTACGAACATATCAAGGTTTGAAATAGAGAACTCACTGAAAAGGGAGCATAGTTAGGAGGCACACAACTTGATATTGAAGACAACCTGAATAGGGCCAGGCCAACATTTGCAAGCCTATGGAAAATTTGGAAATCTACGAAAATATCGAGGCGAACTAAAATTAGAGTCTTCAATGCCTGTGTTAAGTCAATCATGCTATATAGCAGTGAAACCTGGCTAGACAATAAGAACAACATGAAGAAATTTCAGGTTTTCATGAATAAGTGCCTCCGGATCATATGTAAAGTGTTTTAGCCAAATGCAATATCAAACAATACATGTACACATGAGCCAATAGAGAAACAAATTAAGAAAAGAAAATACAGATGGTTCGAACACATTCTAGGAAGACCTGAACAATCCATAGCAAGACAGGCAATAGAATAGACCCCCCTAGGGATCAAGAAGTGTAGGAAGACCAAAAATACTTGAAAGAAAGTTTTACATTCAATTTATTTTTGTTGTTTTATATCAGAACACTCCATCCTAATAGACTCCCACAACCATTCATACTCGTATCTACATTATAACCATATTAATTATAATTTGCTTTAATAGAAGCATATATTTATGTATATGAGTATGTATAAAATGTGGAATATTTTAAGAGTTGATGAAGGATCAGGTTTAAATATTTTATATATGTATGTTTGTAAACACATATATAAGAGTATTATGGTTTAGTAAGTTTAATGCCACGTATGACCTGCAAGGCAAACAACGACTTTATGCTCTATTAAGATTATATTTAATTTGTGCATAAATTTACTTTCATTATCGTACCCATATAATAGTATATATGTTGTTATAAAAAGTTTTAATAAAGTGTTCCAACTATAATTCCTGTCTTTTCATACTACGAAATTGGAGTGTGTGTGGTAAAATAATTTTGGAATATTTTACTGAACTTCTTTTGAATGTACTTATGAAAAGTAATTTCTATTAGAGATATAGATTTATGATGGTTTCCATTATATTTCATTTTCTTTAGCAACACAAATGATGGGGCTCCTTTAATATTGAACCCATTCTCATTGTTTTCTTGCATAAAAATGGTGAAAAAAAGCTTTGCTTTTAATTTGAATCTTAATTTGCAAGGCAATAGAATGCTAAAAAACTAAAAAAACGGCTCAGAACCACAAAACTTTGATATTAGCCTTAGAGTAATTTTAACTTCAACCTCATAAAATTTCGGTTCAATTAAAGAATTTGTTTGAGTGACTTCCATAAATCTTTAAAAATAATTCAACTATTTAAACTGCAGCAATATCATTTTAACTCGAAGCTGAATGAATCTTTGTAATAGCAGTATTGCATGGGCATTTTACAAGTAACATTGTCATCTCTTATATTATAATTCAAAGTCTCCACATTATAGTTTATTACACTTATACATTTCTATTGACAGTAGAGAGAGATGAAAACAAAAATCGTACTACTAACCATGAAAATATCAAATTTCATACTAAAAACCTAGTAACCAGTTTTCTTTTTCATTTTCTATACAGCTCATCCATTTATAAACTCTGTTTTTTTTTGCATTTTTGCCTTTGGCTAAGGTTTACATTTAATTTCATTTTCACTTAAAAAAAGATGTTATGTTTGTTAATATTGTTAATAATATAAATTTAATATAAGTATAGTAATACTTATGTAAGAGGCATACAAACACGCGCACCATAGTCTGAAATAGAATACCGATTAATTATATTTTATAAAATAATCGGATTAATTTGAAAAAGTAGAAACTATAGCTCGTTAATAATATTCCGGCAAAGTTTATAACATCAACAAAAATGGACGTTTAGATGAGCTTTCTTGGAATAACAAGATTCGGAGAAAGAAAATTTCATATTAACCTATCTCTTATCATAAAGCAAAGATTAACTGTGCAGTAGGATTAGATTCTTATATTGGCAGAAGCCGACCTCCACCCATAAAATTGGCAGAAATATCATAAGTACACATATGGAATTAGTTCACAGTCAACGCATTGAATAGCCCCAAGTAGGTTGGGACTTGATATAACTAAAATTAGTTTATTGCTGAATTTCATGTAATTAAGAATCCAGTAGCGAATTTGACAAGAGATAACTGTAAAGTTTTATTTATTTAGCCTTCACAACCATAACGGTTCTAACCAGTTTCAAAATCCACCTTTACTGAAAATCGAATAGGTGTTAATAAAACATAACAGAAGAGGGCAATTTTTTCTAGTTGGAGTAATCAAAGTTGTGATTTTTGAGTTACTTCTCTTATGTAAGAAGATACAAAACTTAATCAAACATATAGGGTAAAAAATCAGCAACAGGAAAGCACAATTTTGTGAGACTACCTCAACAGTGTAATGTAAAAATTTAGTAGTACAGACTACAAGACATTTTTTCACATTTGATTTCTTGTAAAGCGTTGGATCGAAAATCGAGATTCACTAATATTTCGATCGGTTAAGTGTTGCATTCAACTCTATTAGAGAAGTGAAGAATTAACATATGGAAGGGGAACCGAAATTAAGTAGATTAAGTGCGAAAGTGTTATGACTTTTGTACCAACCTTCAACCTACAAAATCAATAACAATGAATCTTTAGTACACTTCCGTTTTTGATTCACTAAACATTCATTACATATTGAAATGCAATAAGCATCAGGTGTAGTGATAATATTCACTACACCTGATTGCTTATTTGCATTTCAATATGTTATAACATCTATATTACATAACCCTTTTTAGTTTTGTCTTTGATTCGAATCAAAATACGGTTGGCTACATTTATGTTCCGGGTAACACATAAAAACAGCGCATATTATGTCGGTGCACTTTTAAAATATTTGAAGTAAAAATCTCTTTCCACACATAACCACAAAACTCTTTATCGTAAATTTCAATGCATTCCATTTTTTCTTTTTTTCCCACATTTTCATCACAGAGCTACATTTATTTGTGGTTGAACTTTTTATTACTATATGGGAATACTATAAAAATTCATTTACAATAAATAAAAGTCATATTACAAGAATAAAAATTTACATGCTACTGGTAATTATTTCCCAAATTACTAAAACTGCTCAAAATCTAGCAACTAATATTGATATAGAGCTAGGTTATCATAGGTCATTTTCGATTTAGAGCTAGGTTATCATAGATCATTTTCATATGCGCTGCTAATTTTGCTTATCCATATTTCAATCGAGAATTCTCATAGATCGTGTTCGCAGAACTGCATAAAGTGATTACAAATTTTGCTTCAGTTGTAAATTTTTCGAATTACATACATAATTTTTAGTAAATTCGACTAGAAACTATTGCTGAAACACATAGGTACATTCACATATTAAAATTACTTAGAATTCATTCGAACTAGGTTATGTTCAACACTGAGTGTCAGCACTGTAATTGTCCGAATCTGCGTCAAATAATCTGAAAATTGTTTAACAATTCGAAATATACCAAAGGCATTAAAACCTTTAAGCTCAAACCAAAAGTAAATAAAAAAATTTTAATTGTTAATATTTTTTTTTTAATTTATTGGAAATTTTATTCTAGAACAAAAGTAATAATTTATAGTTGCGATCATTATTAATTTTAATTCATTTATTCATTATCAATTACTTTGAGTCATCGTCACCATTTGCATTTACCATTAATTCTCTTTCATTATAATTCAATCCATTTGTTATTTCTTTGGATCTTTGATCACTTCCATAATCATTTCTATTATATTCATTTTCATCACTATTCTGATCATACCTACCTTCATCATCTGTTTCACTGTTATCATTTGAATCATTAATGTTATAATTACGATCTTCATATTTACTATGCTGTTCATTTGATAAATTATCACCAATAGTAATATTAATAGCTTCACTTAACTTATGATATTTTTGACTATTTAAGCCGGTTGTATGTAAATTAATTTTTGATGCGTATTCAACAGATGGTGAAGAAAAATATTGTCTTTGGAGTAGTGTAGTTGGATGTGATGACAATATTTGTGTTGTTTTAGAAGATCCAAAACTTTTAATAAAACCTGGATGTGTTTGTAAAGTAGAAAAATGTTGATTTGTTGTTAAAATGGGAGATGAATTAACTTCTAATGATGGTGTATTGTGGTGAATTATTGTCGAATGGATTGCATGATTCAATATGGAAGATCTTTGTGATAAAACAAGTTGTTCTAATTTTCTTTGTTGTTCTTTCTCTGCTGTCAATTTTTCTTGTTGTTCAATAAGTGTTTGTTTCAATTGTTCTTTTGTCAATTGCTCCTTCTGTTGTATAATGGATTTACGAAATTCTTCTTGTTGTCGTCGTTGTTCCTCTTCTATTTCAATTTGATGTTTTGCAAGTTGTTTTTGAAATTCTTCAAGATTTTGATTATCTTTTCTATTGAAATCAATATTTAAGAATTTTTGACTTTCATATATAATATTTTGATTGAATGGTGATTCTTTTGAAATAATTGCATTAAATCCATTTAAATCATTGGCTGTATATGAAACTGTTCGTCTTGTGCCATCTGGTTCAACCAAAGAATACTAAAATTACAATAAAATAAAATTTTATTTAATATCAAAAATAAAAAAAAATGATGAAAAATCTTATTGTACGAGTATGTACCTTTCCTTGTACATTACCCTCTGAAAGTTTTTCTTCTTGTTGTTTATCATCACCAGTTTTTATGTCTTTGATATCATATGAAAAACTATATCGTGGATTTAAATCAAAATCTTTATTATCATCAGGTGCAAATGTTGATGATTTAATAAAATGTGATGTAATGGGTTGAACGGATAAAATTTCTGCTCCTGGATGACTATGTGTATATATTTTAGAAGAATGAGGTAATTGAAGGATAGGTAATGTACTGGTATGTTGAAGTGGAATTCCAGCTTGATTTAATCCTAAATTTTGTACAACAATTGCATTTGAATAAATTGAACAATATATTAGAAGAAATCCAGAGATCTATAAATAAAATGAAATTCATAAGCTATTTTTTTTATGAAGATCAAAAATTCCCAAAGTTTAAGATATAGAAGATGAAAACTAGAGGAAGAATATCCTTAAAAACTAAAAAATTCTCTAGTTATCGCTATAATATTTTATTTTATGTTACCCTTGACATTTTGTATTAACTTAAATAATCCTTTTCGATTGAATTTTAAAAGGTCTTATATTCTTCGAGATTTTGTGTATATTCCGTATTTCTTTCTTCCAAGAACTTTGCCAGATAATTAATAAATTTTGTGTTTTTTCTTCAATTTTTATATCATTCTAATATTGTTCTATATGATACCAAGAATATATTACCTTGAGTGATTACATTCGAATTAAGTGGAATATACTATTATATTTCATTGGAGTATAAGTTCAGTAAACCATAATAACCCTACCACAAGATAAATTTAAAATATTTTTATAGAATTTACTTTGGTTTTATTTTTAAAAAAATTTTTTTTCTTCATTTTTTTATTTGAAATTTTAGAAGGTCGTCGACTGGAGTGTTTTTCATTTTATGATTTTTTCTTATCTAGTTTTCCAAAATGAATTTAAGATGAATTACATATTAATTGAACCTAACCATTTTGTTTCTATGTCATGAATTAAATTTTACGCCAATGTATCGAATTTTAATTTTAAATAGAATTTCATTTTTGTATAGGAAATAAATCTATAGACGGAAGGTGAATTTTTAACAAGGTGAATTTTAGAAAATGACACGAATCATTGAGGTTCTTAATAAAATCTGGAAACATATTTAGTATATGTTTGGGAAATTAATTTGAAGCTGGATTTCAGAAACTTATTTGAATACATAATAAAAATTTTAAGATCTAACACATCGCTCAATAAGTCCGTAGGATGACATATAAATGGCGATACAAATACCGAATCCAAACCATACGGATTAGAAAGGATCAACCTCCAAAAGATATTTGTCAAAGTTTTATGACATTCGGACCATTATTTACCAAGTTAGTGTGTGAACAATTAAATCAACTTTTGTGAATTGAAAAAAAACAAATAGTGAATTTCTTGTGCTCATTAAGTATTGATTTTTGATGGGAAAAAGTACTGTGCGGACCAAACAATGGCTTGATAAGTGTTATTCGAGCTCCGCTCCGCCGAGGCAAATGGTTGAAAAGTGGTTTGCTGATTTTAAACATTGTCGTACAAATACCGATGATGCTGAACGCTTCGTTCGCCCAAATTCGGCAGTTACTAAAGAAAACATAAAAGAAATCCAATTGTCTAACTGAAATTGCAGGAGATTGCCGAGGCCGTAATGATATCAGACGGCTATATGTTTACTATATTACACTAACATTTGGGTATGAGAAAGCTTTGTTCGAAGTAGGTGCCGCATTTGCTAGCACCAGACCAAAAACAACAACGAATTGATGACAGCGCTGGAATGACTGTATCGTCTTAAAAGGAAACTATGTTTATGAATAGAATCAAATAATGTCAAAATGTTGTTGTTTTATTAGCCATCCTACGGACTTTTTGAGCGATGCGCTTTATTAAATAAGTTAAAATAGATCAGATTTAGTTTCAATTATAGATTAGATTCAAGGTGAAATGGGTCGGTATCAAACATAATCATGACTATCCATCAGAAAATTTAGGTACTTTGGATAGTCAGTTTATTGTGACGCGGTGACTTCACTACGATTGCAGTCGATACGCAGATAACTTATAGTACCCTGCAGGTTTAACCATAATCGAAACGTAGTGAAGAAAATTTTGGAATTATATTAACACCATAAAGTGTAAAGAAGCAGCAAATCATAGTGTAACCATAGTTTTTTTTGCTGCAACGTTTACGAAAATAAAACGGAAAACGCTGAAAACGAGTAAATACCCTTATTTGCCTAGTCTTACTTAAGTTATAAACTGGAAAACTTGAAGTACAAACTGTTTTTTTATCAATTTTTAGAAAATAGAAATATTTATTCAATACGCTACTCTTACTCCTAAACTAACTTAAAATACCACGATTAAAATACAAGTATACTTTTAATTCATTAATTATTTTCATTACACAATTTAATCCTTTGATACTAGGTTGTTGTAATTATTCTCATAATCAATTCTCAATATATCCAATTAAAAATCATATTATTTACTCTGAAATTGTAATGATGTACGCTTTTCTCATCATCATAGAAATAGAAATTTTAATTTTCTGCGAATCATATACATCGGCAAATAACAAGGGTAGTTTGGAGTATCTCAAGGTAATTGAAAAATTTTTAATAACATTGCTAAGTAAATAGGCTTTGAATCAATATTTTTTGTTAAATTACCTAGTCTACCTACATCTAAATATAATTAATGCAAATAACGTAAATCCACATGATATCTGCAAAAATGTTAAAGTACACCAAATACATTTTGTTTTTAATACCGCAACTATATTGCGTTATTAAAGTACACATGTACATATATTGAGTGCATTATTTTGTGCTATAAAGAAGAATACGTTTTAAGTGGTATAGGTACATAAATTATAAATTTTCATTATTCTTTTTCTTATACCTATAACTGTTTATTGCAAGCCTGTTACCATGGCTTATAACATTCGCACTATCAAATAATGTAGGATTTAAAAATTAAATGAGGCAAATACTGCTGAAAGCAAACTGCCCAGATTAAGTATGAAATATGTTTATGATCTGGAAACATTTTTCCATTTTCAACATTTTATTTATCTTGTAATTTTATTAATATAATGCACCACTCGCAGAGTATCAGCAGTATTATAACACGGCAATGTCTACTTTAGGACTTAGTATTAAATGAAGATCATTAGGCAAGCATTACAACAAGTGTTATTTTCCTCTGGGTTTCAAAAACATAACGGGAGGTATTGTTTCGATTAATATTTCTAAAAGCATATTATGTGTGTTAGAATGGTCTTTATGTGTAGAAGATTTGGTTATATCTTGAACAACGATCAAGACGTTAACAGTTTCACAGCAGACATTAGCAATTTAAGGCAACCGCGGGTTCACAATCTAAAAATAAGATTGTTTTTCACTATTTTTGTTTATGGCCAACTCTAAGTGATCAAGGGTTCTGGCAGATCACTTAAATTAATTGATTATCGTTTTATATGCAATCAATAATCGCATGATAGAAAGTAGATGGGACTGTGTTGATTTTTAATCAATCTAACCAATTTTAAATAGTTTTCGTATGCCAAAATATTTTATAATTTAGTAGAAAATGTTAACTATACTTTGGCATTTCCTTTTAACAGCATTTAAAAATTTTTACAAGTAAAATTTCAACACCATAACAGTTGTGGTTATATGAAGAAATTTTATAACATGTTGTTTTATTTGGAAAATTCTAGGGCCATACAATAACAAATGTTTTTGTTTCCAATAAAAAATTATAATAAAAATTACTTCAAAATAATAATAAAATTGTACGTGGTTTATGTGCCTATACGACCTATAATAAGAAATTTTTTTTTTTTACAAATTATAAAAATTTCTGCTCATAAAATTGCATGTGCTTCATATAATTTTTGATTTATAAATTTTGATTGCAGTAAAATAAAGTGAACAAGTTTATAGTTTACCACGTTATGTGCCTATAATTAAATTAAAGGCAGCATACACACCAGCAGAATGCAAACGCATAGTTTTTCTAAAAATTGTATGTGAAAAAATCGTATATAAAAAATTGAAATATTTTAAACTTCGTTTGTATGACAGCAGATAACAACTTTTCCATAAGTTAGAATTAATTTTTATTGTGACTCATTGGGTAATAGTTGACTGTGGTAGATTACTATCTGCCGGTATCCAAAAATTAAATTTAATTTATTACTGCTCTTAAAATCAACGTAAATAACGAATAAAATTCACATAATTCCAATTATTACGTATTCTCCCAAATTAATTGCATTTGTTAAAAAAGAGAACACAACTGCTGAAAACAGCAAGAAACTTAATAAATTAACAAGTCGTTCATATAAGGTAATAATTACAGAATTGCAATGACGTTAAACTATTCACAATATCCCAAGTATCGTTTGTCGTTAAAACCACTGAAAATTTCATTTATGTTATTTTTTTCTTTTAACATTTTTCACGCACACATTTATTACAGTATGCGTATTAGTTTCATATTTCCAGTATTAGCAAGTAGTACCTTCAAGTGTATGTTACAATTTTTTTTATTACCTTATTCCGGCGCCAAATAAAATGGTATGATGCATTCATTCAAGGTTTGAATATTTTTATTTCTAAATATTTAATTAAAAATTCTAACATTTTTTTTATTATGAATTTTTTAAAAATAAGATGCTTATAGTAAATAAGTAAAATTTTAATAAACCTCTTAATTATGGAAAATTTTCTAATTGATTTAAAAACGGGTAGTTCAATAAATTTTCGACGTTTTTGGTGTGTGTTGCATCGAAATTGATTTGATTTTATTTTCTAATCAACCATTTGTCGACTACAGGGCTCATAAAGGTCAATTACATTTAAATTTGTTTTTCGTTTAATGGATATTGGAGTAACTCAAAAACAAAACGGTAGAGCGAGAAAAAAAATAAACACTCTTATTTTCAGTTCATTTCGGCTCATTCTGTTTATCTCAGACTGAAAGCGCGAGACACGATTGTGTAATACGATTGCGTAAAACAGTTTAAAACTGGCTCTGATTTCAGTTTAAAGGAATTTTAATATAAATTTTTCAGAAACTTATTGCTATAGCTTATAGTTGGTATATGAGCATTAATATATAGGCATAAAAAGAATTTTAGTGATCAACACTACTGGTACGTATTT